ATAAAAGGACTTTATTTTATTTTATTTTTATTTGAAATCGCTGATATCGCTAAATGAAATAATATAGATGTTTCCATTCCAATATGCTTAAAGATAATTTCCGATACTGTGTCTTAATTCGAAAATCGGTAGTTCTTGTAAGGATTCCTAAAAGAAGTTTACAGCAGGCTGGGCGTATATGTTGAAATATATGTGTGTATACTCTATATATATTTACGCGATAGACACGTGTTAATTAAGATATATTTCTTTATATTAACAACAACAATACTAATGTATTACATAACAGGATAGCACCACATAATATTAAATATTTAATTTACAATATTCAGATCTTTAAAAACAAAGGAAAAAAGAAAAAGAAAATAATCTTAACCGAGTGATGCAAAAGGTCGGCCGTTGGCGCCTACATTTCAAATAAAAAATGAAAGCAAGATTCAAAAGATTCTATTTATAGAATTTAATGTCTCCTCATTAGAATATTATTCTAATTATTTATTGATATGTTTATAGGAAATAAATTAAAATTATCGATAAGTTATTACCAAATCCTTTCTCATGTCTCGTATTTCGCAGGTTGTTTAACGTGTTTGTTGTACGTTTTAAAGGACGGAATAAGCCTTTACTTGAGGGTTTAAAGTTTGATTGTTAATCAGTGTGCGGAACAGTGCTTCATATGATACTATCCTATGGGTGTGTTGGGTGTTTTCAAATACGTCATGAAATATTCGATAATTATATATTTTGTATAATCAATGTTGAGGATACAATAATTTAAAATCATTTATTCTTTGTTTTTTTTTAACGTAATATGTCATGATAAAATGATGTCACGGCTTAATTCTAATTAGCCGGATAATTTATTTCCGTTCCGTGCCATATTAAGAAGATAGATTCTTTAGTTGCTGATGTGATCTGAAGAGAAAATAAAAATTAGTATTAACAAAAAGTAAACAAGACAAGTCTTGAAATACTTAAATAGCTGTTTTATTTAAATATGGGTTGATTGCTAGGAAAATCAGGTATCGGGAATTTTTTAGCAAAATTGAGATTTTTATTGCATTTTAGTTTTTGATGTTATTAGATTAAAATGTATTAAGCTCTTAATTTTAGTCAAAAATTTCTCGGAACCTGATTTTCCTAGAAACACTCCCATATATTCTTTCGCTCGTATTTGTCAATTAAGAAATTTCTATCCATCATTTACTTTTTTTTTTCCACATAGTCAATTAAAACTTGTAAATTTACCAAATGCGATATTTCTTAGATTCTTTATTTTAATCAATGTTTCTAGAAACAATTTGATTTGATTTTACCTTTTTTAAATAACATATGGTAACATATCACGAATTGGTTATCATAATGAACATAGAACGTGGATTAAGGTGTCACACTCGGAGTCTGATTCCGAAACGATGATCGGTTTAACCACTTTTGTTTCTCAATAAAATTAAATATCGGTATAAAAACTAACTCTTGAAGATGAATTAAATATATTTTAAGCACGGTGAATGACTTTTCGTTAAATATTCATTCAAAACAAATGATTGAAAATGCAAAAGTCTCCATCTTAACCAACATTCGCAAGAAAAGGTTAATGATTTATCTAAGATTATCAATAAATAGACGAGCATAATTTCTGCACACCGAATCCGAATACAGTCGCCCCCCCCCCCCCCCATATAATCACTCTCCTATAGTCACTCCCTTCTTATAAGCGAATTTTTGTCAGGCCGAAGTAAATAATAAACTTATTAAGAAATACTCCTCTATAGTCACAACGTATAGCTTTTTATAACTAGGAAACGGAAACCTTTGTAAAGCCCGGAGTTTTTCTACTAATTACAGAGATGGAATGGTAAAAATATCGTGGACAACTAGGTCATGTAAAGTTACTATTTGGAGTTATGAACCAATCACACTGAATCAAAACGTCAAGCGAGCGAGCGGTCATCCGGACATCTTGAATCATACTGCGTAGATATGATATGGGACCTTTGCAATAGAAAAGGGGGGAACGGCTGGAAAAAAATAAAAATTGAGTTAATGCTAAATCTGAACATATTTTGACCTAAAAATCATATTTGGCATATAAAACTAAAATTGATTTTTTCCGGCTGTTTTCCCCTTTCTATTGCAAAAGTCCCCGGACCAATTACCAATTTTTTTGGTCTCGAGGGACGTGACAACGCTAGCCTTTCCATGTGTGCACCTACAAGAGTATCGTCGGCCTGGCATGCTTGAATAATGGCTTACGAACTTTATTGAGGAACTTCTTTTCTCCCGCTCATTATTGCTGGTCTTGCTATTATTAATAAACTTGAAGAAGTCCTTCACTTTATTTCAAAAATAAAAAAATTAATTACAGTAATTTTGGTTTATAAATTTAAATTACAATCTTTGAAGGTTTGCATTCGACACAATCTGTACGGAATCGGGCAAAACGAGTATGAAACACAAACTCCGAAATTGAAAATTCTTGGATTTCTCTTGCCTACCTCAATTTCAACTTTCCTCTTTTTCTTAATTGAGGTACGGAATTGGGCAGAACGAGTATGAAATACTAACCCGAAATTGAAAATTCTTGGATTTCTCTTGTCTATCTCAATTTCAACCTTTCTTCTTGTTCTTAATTGAGGTACGGAATTGGGCAGAACGAGTATGAAATACTAATCCCGAAACTGGAAATTCTTGGATTTCTCTTGCCTACCTTAATTTCAACCTCTCTATGCTCGAATTGTTGAAGTTTATTTTTCTTGACGGCTTTCTTAGGATTTCAAAATGCGGATATAATACTGGGTCCTTCATTTACTTTTCTGGAAAGACTTTAAAAATTGTTGAAGCTTAAATTTTAGCACAAAAGTAGCCCAGAAGAGACTCTTCATCACAACCGAATTTTGATTTTGAAAGTATGGAAAAATCAACTTGGACTCATCCCATCGTACCTTAGTAATTTCACTCGCAGGACTGATTAGATTTTGAATATTTAGACTAATCTATTTCGCCCGATTTGTCATCTTTGTTTATTATTAAAAAAAAAAATTTGAAAAAAAATGTCCGACCTTTTTTTTTGATAAATTTCCTCCTGCTATAGCTGTACTTTAAATTCATGTTCATTAGATAAGAAACTTATAAATTAGGAGAGTGGATAATTTTGGACAAATTAATTATTTTAATTATTTTAATTATTTGAGATGATTAGAGGATAATGCGGTTACTAACAATAAAATTAGACACAGATGTAAATTTTAATATAAATAAAACTCGATAATAAAAAAAAAAAATTTTTTTTTTATATTTCAAATTTCCGCATGTTGTTTTTTCTCGCAACTATTAATTTGTTACACAATATGACAAACACAAAGAACCCATGAAAAAAAAATTGAAGGAACAATATATCAAAATATCAATAACACGTTTTTTTTTTTTTTTGAGAGCAAAATTCATTTAATAAAATCTAAAAACATTTTAGTTAAATCCGAAGTTGTGCACCCGGGTATCTCACCCAAAGGATCTTTTTTTTTTTTTTTTAATCATTCAATCGCGCCTGTTTGCAATTTCCAACAACAAGCAATAATCACTTCTTCTTAATTACGGATGCTTTTTATATCTTTGATTTTTACTAGTTATAAATCATTAAAATATTTGCTTTTATTATGAACTAATTGTTAATAATCAATTAATGCATAAGTTCAAGAACGAACCCTTTTTTGAGTTAGTATTTCACGCGATACACATGATTCTTGATTTTTTTTCACAGGTCGGACACTTTTTATCTTAGAAATCTCCTAAGATAAATAGCTAGATCTTTTATAATCTGGTAGTCTAATATCGGCAGTTTATTAATATAGGTAAGTTTAAACTCTGTCATAACTGCATTCACAACAATAAATAAAAAAGATTTTGTGAACGAATCCCATGAGGACTAATTTATGCAAAGAATGATAGAAGTAAGTACATTAGAGTTTGAGATTACAATAATCACTTAAAAAAAAAAATTTTTTTTTTATTTATTATATACGAGTAATAAAAATTTAATCTATCCATATGCAGTTACTTAAGTAATTTGTGATATTTTTTATATAAAATAGACACGGTTTCCCATGCTTTTATGTTTTTTTTTTAATACTATTATTAATAATATTAATAATTATCATTATCCTTTATATATAAAACAAATCTCAATACTAAAATTTCATACGAAAATGCAAAAAGAAAATAAATTTAATAAAGTGATACTGACCAAACCCTTTGATAACTCGGAAACAATAAATAGGATTTTGGCCCTCCCTCCCCAAGTTATCGAAAATAACCCTTTGGTGTGTCAATTTTTTAACGGTTCAAGCTTCAATTAAACGTTCTTGATGAAAGTTGAAGATTGTTGGCAAATACTGCAACCGTTAGGTAAGAAGCATTTATGTAAGATAAAAATCAAAATTTATTTTTTTTTATCGCGTTAATGAACTAACAATTACTACGTTGTAGATCTCTGTTTGTGTAATATACTGTATAACTTTATTTATTACATGTATATATATATGCAAATATTTATTTTATAGTAAAAATACTATTTTTCTGTTTTCTTAAATAGAACTATGACTTATTTTTATGCTTAAATGAATACTTAATAATCAATCTATGTGCTTTTATTTATTTTATATGTATGATATATCATCAAAAACAAAAAGAAAAGTTTTCTTTTATATTCTCTAGCGTTAATATCACGGTTAATAAACGATTAAAAAAAAATTTGTTAATAAATTCTCTTTGACAAAATTTCGTTTAGTTGGTTATAAATTTTTAGTATTTGTATCTATGCTGTGATTAATAAAAGAAAACAATTATAAAACAATTACCATTATGATTAATTTTGATAACCCTTTCAAATTATAGAAATGATTTACATTCAATATTGACAACATTGTCGGAAAATTTCTTGCTTATGAAACAATATCATTCAAAACAATTGATTATAAATTCAACCTTAAAATTATGCTTAAAATTTTGGAACTTGACAATTCTGTTCATTTTCAGGACCGCGAATGATGAAATCTTATGTGATTTTTAGGCTACAATAAATAAATGATCGATAATTTAATAAAATTTATAAAATTTATTAAATTTAAATTTAAATTTTAAACTTTATATCAATAATGAAATAAGAATCTCGACACAGTTAGCGTCTGAGTCGTAAACTGAAAATGTTTAATGTCCAATAAGTCGACTTCCGAGTTCTAGGTTCAAGATATATTAAAAAATATTATGTATAATTTACGACCAGTTATTAGAATTTTAGAAAGTTTATAACTTGTTTATTAAGATTGACTAAAGACGCAGTAGCAAAAAACCGTACGCGCTATTACTGTACTTTCTATCTTCTTATTTCTCAATATTTTTATGACCAAAAATTTTTATATTTTTTAAAAAAAAGAAATACGCGAATCATCAACCTAACTTATGCTTTATCACATTAAATGTTTTCCAATTTTAAATAGTTAGGATTCCATGCTTATTTAAAAACCTAATACAAAGAACTTTTAGACAACTGTTTTTCTTTTTTATAAATTTACGAAAACGGTCTTTACATAGAAAAATTTTAAACCGATCATTATTAATTATTCAAACGGTATACAATCGGTACCCGAACATATTGAAATGCGTCAACAGTAACATTAAAGAGCCCGATTTTGTATCATGTCGCCTATCGCTGGAAATATTGAGAAGACCACGGTAATGTGTCACAATCTTATTACTCTGATTGGTTATCTATATGTCACATGATCCTCATCACATGTCAATAGCCGTGGTCTAAATTTGTTCATCACCCAACGCGGTAAGACGGAAAGTAGTATAGTAGGGTCGATCAACTGAGTATAGTATGGTTCGTAAAGTGTTGTGGAGTAAAATTTTATTAAACTCCGTTGTATGTATATAATATTTAATTGAGTATTGTATTATTAAATGTTAATATACTCAACTACTAAATAAAAATTTGAATAATAACCAATAGTAAAAATCGATCACGCGACATGATTAAGAAAATCAGCCAATCAGAAACGAAAAACGATGGTAACCAATCAGAAAAATGGGGAATTAGTAAACCTGCTGGTAATAATAGACTCACGCCGCAGTACAGGGTGTTATTTGGATTAGAGGTCAGGTTCGATATTTGAAGTTATGGATACGACAGTTACCTGGTCTTGTAGTCATATAAATACTGCAGCGATAAAGTCTGACTAAAACTCAGTAGGTTAAAATCTACAATAGGGTATTACTAAATGATTGAGTATGAAGTGCTGAAAGTGAGACATCTATCCAGATTTGACAGTAATTCCTAGAGGTCTAGTTAAGCTGATTCGGAAGTAAGGAGTGAACCATATACTAGATGCAGCCTCCAGGGTAGTGAATTGTGTTGGTTGCGTCAAGATACTACTAAATTGATAACGTATGATAACGGTAAGTCCAATCCGAGGCGTTGGTGAGAAAGAACCCATATCAAGGAACCCATATCAGATATATCATTACAAGCTTCGCTCTGTCCAATATCGTTGTTCCATGAATTTGACAAATACATACCTGAATTGCCCTCATTATATTTACATTTTTTAAAAAAACCATCCTTTGTAGATCCTGATTCTTACATGGATATAGTAAATTTGAAATGTGGGAATTCTGTTGGCACAACGCTGTTCTCTTTCCGGGTTATTTATTACAGAAAAAGATGTTTCAATCTTTTATGTCATGATATTTTAAAGGAGCTACGTCAAGAGTTACAGATACATTTACTTGCCCAGGATGATGGTAAATAATACTCATCTCTTTAATTATTTGGAGTGTCTATAAATTATTCAAAATGAATTTTACTAAAAAGAACAGTTGAAGCAATATTTATTTTCACGTTGTTATTTGAAAACGACTTTTTGTGGTGTCTACATAATAATTTTTTATTTGGTTGAAATCCTATTACTCACGTAGTTATTTGGTTTTGAATGTAATGAAGGAAGAAATACTTATTACAGCCACATCTTGCTACATACAACTATACATAGAGATAAAATTATCCACATTTTAAGGAAAAAAAAATTCATTTTTTTCGGAATTCAGTTCACATATATATATAAAAAAAATAAAAATGACGATTTGATACTTAATATGGTTAACATGGATAAATTGATAAAGCATTTTCTTTGTTTTCTTATCTTGTATCATACAGATTCCTTTCCTTAAATGATTGTAATATTTCTTAGTCACATGATCCTGAAATTGATTTAGTTATTATAACAATTCTATTACTTTTTTGACTATAAAAGTCATAATGAGTTGAGTTTAAAATTTAAAATCTCTCATACTTTATTAGCAGCGCCTCATATATTGGCACAGAAGTTAATACTTTTTTTATATCGCAGTATGTGAGTCAAAGTACCACAGCATATTTAATTAAGCTCGAAATTATTTATAAATTTCAAATTTAGCCGTTACATTTTTGTTTTTTCGATGTGATGTTACACAAATCTTTATATTGAAATCCTACCGATCTTTATCAAAGAAAAATTTTCTTTAGTTTTGAAACACTTCGTAATGATAGGTAGTATATTATTATATTGTTCAGTCTATTGGAGACCCATATTTTTGAATATTTTAATATCAACATTATGTCGCGTTAGCGGACGCCCATTTATTATTAGAAAGTGATATTGTATATCGTTGGCCAATCAGGATCTTTAAAATTGTTAATTGCTTTGAGTCAAAGTACACTAACGTTATAACTTTATTTATTTTGTTTTTTGCTCACCTATTACAAAAAGCCCGAAAATTTTAACTAGAAAAAATTTATTTATCAAATTTAGGATTTTCTGCATATTTTATAAAAAAGTTAATAGAGGGAACCAATCTAATCAAAGATGAAATAAAAAAATAAATTTATGACAAATTGATATATTTATTTATTTATTATCTATTGATGTTTTGATTAATTTGTAATATTTAAAAAAAAAATTCCGGACCACTATATTTTAGGAATTAGTTATACATTCAAGGCAGACCTAATTTACAAAGGCATTGATAAATTGATGAAATTTATGGAACTTATGAAAAATAAATACTATTCAGATATTGGTACCGAAATAAACGTACTTGATAATGACAACTCGAACGCTTATTAAATTGTGAATGTATTTAGATTAAATTTTCAAATTTACACAATGTTGTGAATTTTAAACATTAGATATATGAAAATATTTACAAGATTAAATTACTTTTTTGTTCCATTATAAAATTAACAACAACATACATTTATAGAATGAACTAATTTTGAAAATTTTAATTTAAATATATTATAAAATCAGTAAAAGCATTTAGTAAGCATCCAAACCATGTTCTGTCAGATGATGATAAAAAAACAGATTGGAATTGAAGACAATCTTTGTAGAAAAAAGAAAAATCTAACAAGTAATATTTGTTTTATATTCTCACACCAAGTAACTGATCTGATTGAAAAAAAAAAGATTTCAATCGGAAATTTTCTCATCTAGGCTATTACTAGTAGCAATCGTACTAGGCCAAATATGGAAGGACACAAAATTTTCTTTCAGAAATCTCATTTCATTTTACTTGTTTGTATTTTCTCTGTGGAATCAATTATGTCACTGAACTTTTTTCTTTGTTACAATAGGCCTTTTTAGTAGAAGACAGAATCATGTTCTACGAGAAACCCAAAGTCTTATCAAAAGAATCATTCTTTCCGAATAAAATTTAATATAATAGAGATAACTAAATAAATATCATTTAAAAATTCTTTTTATCGTAAGTACATGCATAAAAGAATTCGATAAAGTCCTTTCATGATAAATTACAAATAATGAGCCTAACCTATTGTTTTATGATAAAAATTTGATTACGGTAAAGACCAGATTTTTATTTATTTTATGTATTTTTATTTTTTTTTTTAAAAAAAAAAAAAAATAAAATAACTTGGAAGGATCTAAAAAAAAAAATGTTGAAATTATAAGAAAACAATGCATTGACAGTTTTACTAAAATTTCTAGCTATTGTTGAAAAAAAAAAAAATTGCTATTTATTAAGGGGAAAATTGACATAACACATGACAACAAATATCCTTGAAAGGGGTAAAAATAGATTTTGATTATGTCTAAATAAAATGCTTCATTAAATAATTGTAACATTATATTATTTGTTCATTTGAGCATTTTTACTATAAATACGATCGATGGAATACTTTTTTCTCACCCTACCCTTCATAGAAGGAATTAATAAAGAAAAAAAAAAATGAACCCACAATTCTCCTTTGATAAACCCGTTGTTACCAAATCTAAAAGAGGGAAAAAAGCCCTTGCCGTAAGCGATGACTATGTTGACCTAACTGGTAAATCTCATATTATGACGGTCAAAAGGTCAAATCCTCCGACGACAAATAAGAAATCTCCAAAGGCTCCAAAAGCCGTAAAAAAAAGCAATAATTATTGCAGACGATGTGAGCAAAATGATGAAAATATCGAAGTTCTTAATGATCGAATTGGAAAATTAGAAAGTTTGGCAAAGAATGCGCAAAAAATTGATAAACCGTTATCCAATATTGGAACAGAGGATTTGTTTAATTTATTTAATAAAATTAATTTCGAGCTATTTAATAGATTTGAGATGATGCATAACCAATTACAATTACAAACTCAATTAGCAACTCCGACAACATTAACACCAACTAACAGTGATCTTATTGATCGAATTGAAAAAAATGGAAAATTTTCTAAATATTTCTAATACACCAATTTCTCAATCGCTATCTTATATTGGAACAGTTGAGATGCAAAATCAAATACAATCCCAAATGTCAACTCCGACAACTATATTGGCTCTCCCGTATGAACCAGTAGATTTCGCAAATTGGAGTACATTTACCCAATAATTACGACAATAACAAACACGTTTTTATACTTATGATATATTATGCATTCTACGTTTCGTGAATTCGGAACCTTTTAACAGAATCGATACATCATTTTACTATAGAAGGTTTCTATTAAAATCATGTTCGGCAAATATGATTTATTTTATCTCGTGACTTGCTAATAGCAAACGACCCATCTTACGATTTTCTTCACACTTTTTCATTTCTAGAATTCCGCTTTTTTTCGATATTTTTCTTTTTGTCTTTCTATACATTGCACATACTGTATCTATTTTTTTTATTTGATTTCATCATATTGGTGGATTGTTATTAAATTTACATTACATTCATACATGTTCGTAACTCGATGCGATGTTAATCCATGTAATTCATTCATTGTAATACAAAACCATAACATTATATTTTGTGATGTGAATCGTTATTTCTCTTTATGGTAATCCTGTATTTTATTTTACCTTTTCTGGTCATTTCTGATAATATTCAATTTTTTATTTGCCAATTTAGGAATATTTCCTTTATAATAAAATGAAACTTTTAATTATTCGTATTCTCAATCGAAATATTTTTTAAGTGAAATCATATTTCCCTTTTGGCTATTACGATTCAATAATAAATACCCATATTAGTAGAATTTATTTTTTAACGCCCGTTAAATACTTTATAATATATCTTTTTGACTTTTTAAAGTATTTTATACAAAAATGAATCGATTTTAGTGGGTCACATTATATCAACAAATAGGTATACTTGCATGCCTCTTTTTTTCGCGGGATTGTTAGATTATCATTGATTGATTTTCGAAGCCCAAAACAAATCGAAGTTTAAAGAATTACCAATTGGATGAAATATTTCGAGAAGACCGGCCGTAAAATATAACGGTTAGTGTCGTACGTATATTTGGTTAACATTAATTTTCCTTTATAAACATGCTTATATCACCAAGGTGATCATATATGAGTTATCACATTATATTAAATCAGTATATGAGAGGTTTGCTATTAAATCGAGTTATTAATTATACGATCCGTAACGTGATTTTAATAGCTTACCTTCCATATTTTCAGGAGAACTCTTCGATATTTTAGATTGTTTATAATATGATTCTAAAACAATAAATCAAGGTTAGATTAGGTGTTATACAAAAATTAGCTTTGGTGAAATTATAAATAAATTATTTATTTAGATTTCAAAGATTTGGGCAAAGCAAATGTTTGGCCGACCATTATATTAAAACTTTAGATTATGTAGAAATAATATAAAATTTTAAATTAGCTTTGAGTCTGGGGATTGGAATCGATTATCGATTCTTTGGCGATTCGATTTTTTGTTCCTTACAAGATAATCCATCCATTTAAACTTTAATAATTAATTCCCAGAATTTGTAAAATTTATTAGCAAATTATACTATAACACAGATGCCGATCATTGCCGATCATTTCATCATTTTTGAGTTTTTGAATGCTGTTGCCAATCAATTTTTCATTTTTGAAAATGCTTTAAACCATGTAATTGATCTTTGGATGCAACGTTAAATTCATTTTTTTGTTTAAATTCAATTTTCTTTTCAAAAAATGAGATTCGATTTTGATTCGATAATCGATTCCAATCCCTATTTGAGTCAACTTTCTGAATCCTATTTGTTAATGGCTTCAATTTCATCCAGTGATAAATTTACTTATAAGGTCAAGATCATTATCAATAAAAAAAATACTTCAATTCAAAATAAATTTGAAAACTAGAATATGATCATAAATTTACAAGTAAATTATAAAAGCATTTAGATCATTAACTTGTTTCTACATTGCAAAGTTTCCTTGGATTAAATTTAGTAGAATCTCTTTATTTATGTAGCTTAAATTAAATTATTTATTTGGAGTAAAAATTTAATTTAAATTTATAGTTAATTTGTGTAACATGCTATTTTTCGTAGACAACGCCAGACAAAGATTCCAGAAGACATCAAGCAATATTTATTACATTTCTATTTAGACCAGAACATTGGAGTGCATTTCTCACGATTTTAACCGTGCGTAATAAACAATTATGATGTTATTTTATTTAACACTTTTTTTATATAGAAATTCCGTGATTTTGTTTTTTTCCATTTTTTATTGTTATTTTATTTTTTTTTATGTAAATTCGTATTAGAGATATTTTTTTATTTCGTCATTTCATACTATAATTAAAAAAAAAGCAAGATAAATAAATAGATAACCATAGTTTCGTGTACTTACCTCCACACTCATGGAAATTACATTGTAGCATTTTTTAATTTCGTCTTATTAAATTTATCATTTATTCTTTAAAAGACTTTACAAATTAGATATGTAACACCTAGAGTAAATTTACCGTTGTACAGCAGACATTCAATTTTTATTTACCAATTTAGGAATATTGGTGAAATACTATTTATAAACTTTCCATTTAATTTTTTTGACAATTGTTGTCTCATGACAATAAAAGAACAAGTGCATGTTTAGAGGTTAATGAAACTTAAAGTTTAATATAAATCGTAACTTTAAACCAAACAATAAACCATGAATTTAAAGTTCATATTGTTGAAATTAAGCCTTTTTTCAGGTTGCTCCAAAAATTCGCGCGCCAATTATTAATATCGTATAACAATTTGCCAATAATTGAAAAGGGTTTAAAGTTTTGTGTGTAGGGCAAAAGGGGAGAAGATTAAGAATCAAAAATTTTTTGATTCTTAACCTTCTCCCCTTTTGCCCTACACACGTTATTTTATTTATTTATTTTTTTTTTTTTTAGGTTTCGGTTCTTTGTTTTGGTCAATTTTGTTATAGCCAGTAAAAATATTATAATTTATTTATGCTTGACCTGCAATCAACTGAAAAATCGTATTTGTCTGTGTAAAACAATCCAACTTTGTATGATAGTCAGTAAAATTTATTAGTGAAAATTTTATTTATATCCGGATGCGGAAATTTTTATTTAACATATGTTTGACTCAGGACCTCTTATGTTTGACTCTGTGTACGTTGCAAGAAAAAGGCCGAACCATAAATGACAATAAATATATAAATAAACATGTGAAGGAATGCACATCATATGTTTTGACTGTGTGTAACGAGGACTTATGTTTGACTCTGTGTAACAAGGACCTCTTATTTTTTCCTATAAATATCAGTAGAACAGTCTAACGCTTCCTCAAGTTCGTCAGAAAATAATTTAAACAATATGGAAGTTGACCAATCTTCCACTCTCGCCTCGACTGACAAGGGCAAAGGCCCAGAAATAATTATGCCAGTTGTGACCAAAGTATCCCTTGATAGAGACCATGCTTACGACGCTTTCAAATTACT